AAAACTGTTTCTAGTTGCTATGATATGGTAAGATTTCCATGTTGCCAGATTTTCAACTTACAGAACTCGGCCAAATTTAATACTAAGAGGGAACGGAATCTCTGATACTTTTATGTTATGTTTTATTGGATACTTGTTGGCAATACAGTTGCAGATTAAAAAGAAAATTATGACTGAAATCAAAAAACCGTATATTTAGATATTAAAGTTTGTTCCAGGGAACTTCCAATAGCTCTAAAGGTACGTGTCCACTGGAGAGTAACTTGGCAAGAATTCGTGAGAGTTACTTTCAAGGGCTTGTCGATTTGAGAGGATGTTTTAACAAATTTTGCTCGCCGATAGATGTTAAATCTGTGTCGACTAGACAAAGCTCTCAAAGCTTTTGTTAATCATCTTTCAAGAAATTCAACTGAAATGTGAATGCTGGGAAAACAGGTAGCAAACAGGAGATAAATTATTTGATTCCAAATTTAGATTTTTTGCTTTTTTAGAAAATTTGTCAATATTTTCAAAAAGGGTATAGGTAAATTGTTTCCCGGGTTAGGTTGGTAAGAGCGCTTAATACGACCGGCACTTGAAGATTATCATCCCGGCATTCATCAAAGGACAATTACATGCAATGTTGTAGTGTGTAAAAACATCCATATAATTATTGTCCCTAATAATTATACTTTCAGTTGAGGCAGGTATCGATTTATAAAAGCACTTGTGGATGAACATTGAAAATAAATATAAATATTAATTTTTGAATACGCATGCTAATAATATATTTGTAGTATCTAATATGTAATTTATTATTAAAAATGCATTTAAAAACGTTATTAAAATAATAAAAAATTAATTTACCTCGTTGTGCATAGTTTAATCTTGTACTAAAATAAAAAAATTAATAATAATGAAGTATAATCAGAATCACATTTATTTTCGTTTTACATTTTTTTTAGTATTCAACAATTTCATAAAAATGTGTTACCTATCTCAAAACGCTATATAAATGTTGAAGTCAGGTAAACGATCAGAATTGGCCGAATTGCGTGGTCCTTTTCACGACAATTGGCATAGAATCATAATCGTGTAAAATAACTCGGCGTTACTCGAGAAATAATTTATGATGAACTGCTTACTCTCGGGCAATACTTCCCCAATTCGAAACTTCTTCGCATTGAGAATATCTCTCGCAAGTAAACGCAGTTTGGCTTGTCCACTGGAGAGCATGTCGCTCGCGGCGAGATCAGCCGATCAGTGTTTCGTCTTTAAGTGGGACGTTCACGTTGAAGTTGCCGTTGCAGTTGCTGTTCCCACTGACGCTGCTGCTAGAGCTGAAAATTGTCATTTATAAACTCCGTTGCCAGTTGCCGTTGCCGTAGTTGTCAAATCCAATTGTGAGGTTATGATTTCACGTCAACATTGCGTACTTTCGAACTAGTTTTATTCTTTTAATAAGTGAAATGAAGCCAACCAAGATGCGACAAAAGTACTTATTAGGTTCTCTCAGTTATGTTTTGTGTGTTTACGCAACAATTAAAATTAAATTGACTGAAGAATATAAAAACTATGTATAAAACAGAAACCAAATTTGAACACGACTACACAACCAAAACGAACGAAAGAAAATATTATTTATGTTCAACATTTGCCGTATTTAAGTGGGTTTTAGAAGAAAGGTTGGGGATTTAAATTTTAAATTTGATTTTCGTGGAATCTCATTGGTTTGAGAATTATTATCTTTAACAATGAAGCACCCACAGACAGCTACAATGATAGCAGGTAAAAAAAATATGAGGGTTTCGGTGAAGAGGTGATTAGGTGGCTTAATATTAGTGTGCCTCATTATCTCTATCAAAATTTGATTTTCGTTGAATCTCATTGATTTAAACGTTGAGAATTATCTTTAACAATGGTGACAGAAAGCTACAAAGATTGCAGGTAGTTCAAATATGAAGGTTTCGGTGAACAGGTGATTAGGTGGTTTAATATTAGTGGGCCTCATTATCTCCACCAAAATTTGCTTTTCGTGGAATTAATGCGGTCAACCAGAAAAATGTCCCTCCAACTTCAGGGAATTTTCTTTCAAGTTGACAGCACTGCACACCACATCAATTTGATTGGTTGAAAACCCAACGTCAACGACAACGTAACGGTGAAAGATAAAAGTTGGTCATCTCGAACGTCATCCCAACGGCGTGCCAACTTCCAACGGCAACGTCAACGGATGCTATAAACAACGCATACCTGTGCTGCATATTTATCTTCGAACGGCAACGTCAACGGCGAACAGCAACGTCAGCGTCAAGCTTCTAAATCGACGTTTACTTGATTCGACTCGGAGCTCTCTAGGGCTGATTTTGAGTCGATTTCTCGCAAGTGGATACGTACCTTTTACAACTAAACGAAGAACCTACAGTAAATAAAAATTTTCCAACGTTCTTTGAGTGTTCCCAAAGTTGAATATTTGCGGTCTTCTGCGACTTTTGACACACCCGATTTATTAGGAATATCGTGTAGTTGATAAAACACTGACCAAGATTTGTAATTATCCCCACCATCATATAATATCGTCTCCAATTTTTACAACAGTAAATGTTATATAAATTTTATAAAATAACATACTCCTCCACTTGTGGTTGGTTGAGTTTTTACCCTAGGCATCCAGATTCAGTTATCAAGACCCTAATTTCTTGAGATTTTGGAAACAGAATGTACAACACATAAAAAGAAAATTAAAAGAAATTGAAATAATGTAATATCAGTCTTTTTACGAAAACATGAACATACTAGTGCTTATCAACTTATGCGACATCATGTAAAAAACTGTTCATAAATTATAAGTGCATGAATTTTATGCAAAAGCATGCAAATACATTTTTTGTATATAATATTATTTTATTGTTAAATATATACTCATTTAAAAGAGTTATGAAAAATAATAAATAAATAATGAATTATGTAGTTAGCAAACTATACCGTTTAATTTATACTTAATAGAGTTCACCTTATCTACTTTTCACATTACATGTTTCACACTTATAATTTATCTATTTATTTTTGTCGTTTAGTAGTAGTTGCCAATTTCAGAAAAGTTTGTGTTATTTAAAAATAAGTGATAAATAATCTCGAGACCAGGCAAACAGTGTGTTTAGAATCTAGAGATCTGACTGCTACAGTGCTCCATGGTTTGCGCGGGACATACTGCATATTTTTCGGATCAAAGGAGTGACAGAGAACTAATATACATAGCTAACGTATTGGAAAGAAATAGGACAAGTTTACGTGCGCTCATCACAGCCTCCCTTTCTCTGAAAAGTTTGGAATCATACTCATACTGTAGTATCATGACCATAAAATAATAATTGACAAAGTGTTCGTAAAGGAAACTAACGGAAATATTTATACAATTTTTTACAACTACCAGTACAAACAATGCTTACATTTTCTGCTGAAAACGCGTATAACTACATAAGTACATATCAGAGACAAAGTGGTAATCAAATAGATTTGGGTCGTAGTCAACATAATTGTCACCGACACATAAACATGATAACGAATAATTTCTTTCCAAATGTACTGCATTTACCGTTTTAAACAGCTGTATCACTGCCAATTTTCTCTGGTTGCCCGATAATAGTTATTCGTAGTCACTATCCATGTAATGTAATAAAATGCTGGAATCTAATTATTTGAGACAACAGTGCCTCCTAACAATTTTTACCCAAGTGTGTTCTTCATTAGTTTGATTATTTTAGGTAATAATAGATATTTATTTCATTAGGAGTTTAAGTGATACTTTATGTGTCGAGTATGGATGATTAAACGCCGAGCGATAGCGAGGCGAATTAAGTCCATACGAGTCACATGAAGTCACTTAAACTCCGAATGAAATACAGTATTTTATTTTCAAACCATTAATCTTCTTTTGAAATGATTTCCTATCTTCTTGCTTCATTAAGGAATTGCCTTGATTTCACTTACCATGGTTACTATGGTTAACAACCACTATGATTTTCACATATTTATACTCCGGCGGAGTATAAATGTGTTTTTTCACTAGCAGCCTGAACGCATGCAAATGTCGACTCATTTAGTGGTAGCAAATTCAACTTTTGCTACCACCGGTTCAAAAAGAAAAATTGAGGTTATGTACGCAATGTTTGATGTGATTATTTCTTAAAAAATGAACAAATGTGTGCTACAAACATTACTTGAGTATACGCATGGTAGTTGGTAGACGGTAGAAGATAAAATGATTAACTCAGCGACAAGTATAAACGGTTTTCTTTGTGTTGAAGATTTAGATCAAGTTTGATTAGAAATCAAAACAAAATCATGTTGCGTCAAAAAATTGAACGTTTATTTTTCAGTTTATTGTCTTATGGTTTCTATTAGTGAAAAAAATAGTATATTAACCACGGTTGCAAAGCCACTTCTAGACCTCGCACTTAGAGCCCTCGACGCTGCGCGTCTCGGGTTCTAATTTGCGCTCAGTCTAGAATGCTTGGCTCTGCAACCTTGGCTAATAATATACTATATTTATACGCCGGCGAAGTATAAGTAGTACTTTTGCGCCGCTCAAACACGGTGTCATAGAAATGACACTTCAACCGCGGTAAGAACGTCATATAAGTGTCAGTTATATGACGTTTGAAAATAAAATTACATATTAGGCTGCAATATTAACAGGATTGTAGCGTGTCAAAGGAGCCGTCTTTACCCGGCTAATGGAAAGAATATATAATTTTATTATTCTTTGTAAAAATAATTCCTTTGTGTAAAACATGTTTGAATTTGGTACTGTATATTTCCTTCACAATTCACCAGTTAAAACAATGAAAATTAACAGTGGAATATTTTGATTCTATCACTAATTCTGAAGTTTTCCTCAGAAAAAATTAAATAAGTAAAAGCTTTGTTGTTCAGTAAAAATTATTTAACTATTAAGCAACACATTTGTTTGCATTTTAAGTTGGTAAAATTTCGAATTTAATTTTAAACTAAATCTGTCTTAAAATGAAAAATAATGACCGGACGTACTTGTAAAATCTACAAAAATAAAAAAGTTATACTAATTATTTAGTTATTCATTTCAATTTAATCAAAAATTGTAATTGTCTGTTTTTATTTATTTCACATTATTATTCAAAGTTTGGTCAGCGTTTTACCATCTACATGATAAACAATCGATCCGATAATTTCGGCGGATAGGCAGATAGACAGAGTGACAGATAGACGAAAGCGGGAGGTTTGTGTTTTATATTCTAGGGGTTATGACACATCGAGAAAATGTGAAAGTAGCCAGTAGCTCGATAATACTTCCTTAGCTTACACTCGCGAATTAAAAATTAAAATATTTTCAAGTCACAGTGGTATCATCTCAGTTAACAAACGTACAGAATGATATTATCAAATATAGGGCCAATCGAAAGCTACCAAAAGAGAACAGTGTATGTTTGGAGTATTTACAGGAGAAAATTTTTTGGTGTATGTACACATTAGTCAAAAGGATGACGAATTTTTTCGGAAAAACATGCAAGAAAAATTACGTTTCTTTTATAACAATTGTCTGTTGCTAAAACTGGTGGACCTCAGTTATACACGAAACGGAAGAGTTAGAGATGCACTATTCCATAGGCTAAAAGGAATCGGCTAATGATAAAGGCAAAAAAACTTAGTGTCGCAGTTTTTCGTGACATTTTGTTCAAATTGATTTTGAGTAGCTTTTAATAGACCGAATTGGCGTCGTTACAAGCTGGTTTAAAGGAGTGCTATTATTTGTCGCCAAACTCTACCCAACCTAGGGTAAAATTTTGGCCCTTCGGCACGTAGGATAGCGTTGGCCCAGCTTTGAGGTTCAATATTTTCAAAATTTTTGTTCAGGAACTTTTAACCATTTTTTTTTCGAGTTTTTCAGAGGTTTTTTAAGAACGTACCATAGAGCTTTCTGTCATTTACTGATTACCCTATATAGGTGACAAAGCTGATTTATTGGGAGATATTTCCTACTTAGACAGTCTTATGACTTTTATGGATATGATTGATTCATCAAAGCTAATCACATGATTAACTTTGATGAATTTTTTTTATTCATGAGTAATAAACGAGTTTAATTGTTAGGCTGTTACAAACCGATTCTAATTAGGGTTTTTAAATGAAAATCACATATATTTTTTTCGGTTCTCATGAATGCATCTATGTTAGTGTCGAACCTCATTTATTGGAAAGTATAAAATCTGGCAACACTATGTATAAGTTACAATAATAACGAATTATTATTATAGGATTATTTAAAATGTTTGCTAACAGCGGCGAATATCTGGATGGAGTTCGGAGTAATCCGAGTTTAAAAAAAATGCGAATGTTCGTCCACTGTGGAGTGGTACAAAACACCGACACGCTGTGGATCGGACGAACCCCGGTCATTAAGGTTTCGGTAAGTAGCGAGTCACTTAACCACACTACAGTAAACTCACTTGACATACATCTTAACTCAGGTCACATACACCTAGTAAAACTTTTATGATTTAAGCGGTTTAAGCCAAACGATCTTTCTAAGTCAAATTGACTTAACTCAATTGACATATGCCTAGTAAAACTTTAGAGCTCCATTATGCCAACAATGGACAGTAATAATCCTTGCGGTTCGGGTCCATAAAGCTTACAATAGCCAGTTTGACTTTGGGTGCTTTTGCTTAAGCCGCTTAAGTCATAAAAGTTTTACAAGGTGTATGTCAAGTGAGTTTACTGTACATTTGCTCGGTACTTGGCAAGTACCTGCCAGTGTGGTTCCGTTTTTAGGGGATTCCAGTTAGCATTTTTGGAAATAGAAAGTCAATGTTCACTATTTAGCTATTTCGAGTGGACAGTCCCGCTAATTTTTGTACTTTTCTAGATTTGAAACATTTTACCTAAAATGTAATTATTTGTATCTGTTTACTAGTATGTTAATTGTTATCACTGATTGGAGCACAAAAATAATGTTGTTTTAATATTCGTTAGATAATATCATAACATAATGTATGATCATCAATCCTTGAACATTTATTTATTTGTGACTAATAAAATCGTTTTGCTTTACTGACCCCTAATGAAATGATTATATGAAATATGAAATTAGCGTTATTACTATAAGAAAAAAAAATCTGCTCAATCAGCAAAAAACGAGGATAAAAAAAAGAGAAAAAAGTTTAGTTTGTGTAAGTTATTGCATTTCTAGTTTTCAATGAAATCTTCGCGGTTTTCTTTACAGTTTTGATCCCGTTTTATAAAATACAGTAGCTATTAAGATTAGTTAAGTTATTATTGCTATAATTTAGTCATGAAATATTTTTCAAGTATCGAAAAGTGTTTCACATACCGCGAATAAGGCGTTTTTAGAAATGTCTAATGCAGGATATTCTAAATGAAAATTAATTAAGCAGGTAGGTTATACTTATGTAAAATATTTATTGGGCGGTCTATGATGACTAAACTACAAACTTTACTGTAGTATTAGTATTTTCTACATTGAGTACGTCCCTTTCAGTCGAAATATTAACTAGTGATTTATTATAGATACTGCAGTAGTATAAAAAAATACAATTTCATTATGCTACAAAATTGTTCCCCAAATAATAATTATATTTATACTTTTATATAATAATTAGTTAACCAATTTTTCGACATTTTATTTAGGTACCTTTTAGATTAAACATTAAAAATATATCTGCAGTGTATTCAGATATTTGTGGAAATTCAATTTTTCTATATCAAATGTTTTCTACACTTGGATATACAGATAATAATAATCTACATCATATAATAAGCGTTTAAAGTGACTAGAATAGTTATTTATGTATAAGTCGCCCAAGGGTATAAATTTCAAATAATACCCATGGTACATACAAAATTTTATGTCTTACCGTTTAGTTTTTGATATTTACAAAAATCATCATGTTTGTACATTATTTTATTGGTTGCATTTACTTCAGAAGAACTAATTTAATTGCTCGGATTTAAATAGCGAATTACCATAAAAAAGGAAATAATGCACCAACAAGCCACAAATGTAAATCCGTAGTACTTTTATGCAGTTTAAATTCATTTGTGTGTGTCAGATTTTTTTGGGTTTTTAAATATTTCGGATGTTGGAATTTTTAGATTTTTGGTTTTTCAGTTTGTGGATTTTTGGAATTATTGGATTCCTCGAGTTCTTCGGATTTCTTCGGTTTTTTGGATTTTTTGGATTCATTACATTTTTTGGATTCATTGGATTTTTTTGACTTTTTGGACTTTCGGGACTTTTTGAGACTTTTGGGGCATTTTGGGGCTTCAACATTTTTTTGGGACTTTCGCGACTTTTACGACTTTTGGAATTATCGCTGTCGCAGTATCTGCATAACAGGCAATACACTAAATAATAGTTGGTTTCCGGTCGATTGCGTTTTCTTTTGACGTAACTATGGCAACTATTTTTATTCCCCTGGGGTATTATTTGGTCAATAACAAACTGAAATCTATGCCATTATAGACCAATAATAAAACATTAAGACATAAATTGTTTTATAATCGTTGAATTATACGGAAGTAGTAATTTGTTCAATAACTTGGACGTTCCTAAAAGTTGGTCTTCTCATATAAAAACTGCAGTATTCTCTTTGAGCTAATCCTTCAGGTACACTTTTACTTGGTCTCAAAACACTTTTTTTCGATGCATTGTTACTTATTTTCATGTACTCATAATAGTGCAATGGCTGCTGTTGCGGCGACCTGTCAATATTGGCTGCATAGCTGTAACTTTTAGGTAAATAACAATTCATTGACTGCAATGAGCGTCTAAGAGAATGTCTTTGGTGTTCTGCTTCATCCATGTAACTATAGTTTAAAAATTTTTCGTAGTAACTACTACTTTGACGATGAAATTTATACGGCTGAATATCTGTTATATAACAATTGTTAAAATTAACGGCTAAATTACAAGCACATTCGTTTAAGTTGTTGATGTTGCAATTACTAATACTATTATTGGCGTGATCTTTACGAGTACCCACGAAAAACATTAAGCTAGCACCTGAAATGATTTAATGAGATCGGGTTAATTTTTTTTTATACCTACCGAATATTGTGGTAACAAAACTAAAATAGTAGCCTGCCTTAGGATAAGAATGGTTTATGTAACCAGTCATGGGAACTCCAAGAAGAATAGGTACAGATTTAGCGCCCTGGATAAAACTCCACGCCTTGTTAAAATGCCTTCCTCTAATTCGTTCTAAAGTAAACATTTTTAACGAATAAGTATATCCTCCTAAGCAAGTGCCATATAACCAAACAAATAAAACATATCCGTGGTATCCTTGTACTGCACTTAGTGCTAGAAGCGAGACCCCTACAAATGAGTAAATATTGAAGTTTAATTTGTTTTATTTTATAAGTAAATAAACCAGTTACCGATTCCTACCATAGCTGCTTGGCACAAGTATTGTCTTGAAATAAGACACTGAGAACTCGGTCTCGCGGTAATTAAACCAAATCCAACGCATCCTAATGCAGATGCAAATCCCATGAAAGTTTGTAAAAGAACTAACGCACTATCTTCAAGTCCTTCTTTATAACCTTCGTATACCTGAATTGAAGACTACAGTAAAGATATATATGTATGTATTTGAGTTTATATTGGAACTCACAAGATAAAAGATAGGCCCATATATCCCAAGAGCAGCAAAGGCACAAGCTATCATCAATATTCTCAAGCCATGGCTTTTCAATGGTGTAAAATCAAACATCGGAGGTTTCTTTGTTTGAGAGTGTGTTTTCTTTTCTTTCATCTTTTTACGTTGATTTTTTAAATGAGTTATAGCATGTCTTTGAGGATGATATAAAGTTGCCGATCGGTAAACGATCGGTAAAAAAAATGCTAGCGACAGTAATCCTGTAATGGATTGCAGTCCAAGTCTCCATCCTAATTTCCTAAAAAAAAGAACAAATTAAATACATTATAAAACACGTCAATAGATAGTCGAACAACACGATCATGTATCAACAACATAATTAAGTCTATTTAACATACAATATTTCGTTTCTTTGTGCAGACATCAACACTATGTAGAAACATAAAGCATAATGATTAGAGAGCGGATTTCTGTCGGGCTACGTCACGATTATTAGGTGGGGACGCGTGAATCGCTGTGAATCAGTAGCGGGTAATAATCAGTGCATTTAATTTTCACTTATTCCATAAATACAATTCACGAAACCTTAATTCGTAAAACAGCTAGGTAAATGAGAACGGGAATTAACAGCAAAGTACAACGAAGCACCGTTATTTTATTCGAAAATAGACGAAGTGCAGCTAGTAACTGCTCTGAATTCCCATCCCGCACGAGCCGTACCGAGTTTGGCCTTGCCAAGCCCGACAGAAATCCGCTGTCTAATAATGATTCCGTTTAGGCGGAAATACGGGAAAGTGAAACCACGGCAAAGCACCCCTACTACAACTAAGTATGCACTGCACGAACATAGGAGTTCGAGATACAGCATAATATCAATCCGTTAAATCACGTACATTTGTCCATTTCCGTCCAAAACAATTGCATTATGCTTACATACAGAATTACCAAGCGTTTTATATTTTCATGGGCTAGACAAGTGTGTTTTGATATTAATAATTTCTTGAATAGGGAACATGACTGTTCGACATCTACATTATCAACAGGTCTATGATTGAAATTTTGTTTATATTTGTTATCTATATATATTATGTCCTGTAAGATTTATATGAAGGTCTGGATTTTATTTTAGTTTAACTTGGATACCCAATCCAATGGACAGTTAACTGTGGTATTTCATGTTCCTTTTTGGCACACGCCTGTGCTGGGAGCTAAAAACTTTTTCCCTCCTATCTTCAGTAATGACATCCGAGTACTGTTAAACAATACAAAACAAAAAGAAAGTAAAATTTGCACAGCCACATGCAGTTTTACTTTCCGAGCGTAAACTAGAGAATTATTGGAATAGGATCCAGCCACTGACCTGTTATTTTCATGTTTTTTCATGACCTATAGTATAGAGATGGAGAATGAAAAAATAGATCTACCGTTTTCATCTGTCTGGCCTCTGTTATCTGTATCGAAACTGTACTGTACTGATTTTTGTCAAATATTGTAGGTATTTTAAGAATGTGTATATACACGTATGTATATTTATTTGTACTAATCAAAAATGTACTCACGTGAAATAAAGGTAGAAAATACAGCAAAGATAATTTTATACAAATGAGAAATGTTAAAAAGAAACCAGTTAGAATTAAACTCTATAAACATATAATATATTGGCAGTACTGCTAAATTGTAGCACCAGACCTTCAAAATTATTATTGAGTCGAATTTATCTACTGAAGATTATCATCAAATATTATTAATTATACTTAGTATTCAAGGTGCGTCCTTTATCAGATAAAGTATTTAAAAATTTGATACAAAATTTAATTAGATCCTTCGACTTAGTGAGACGTAGATTTCTGAAACAGATATCCTTGTGTCTAGGGTGGCAGATGTGATGGAGATTTACTTTGGACTGTAATTCAGAATGGCAAATAATAAATTCCAAAGATTGATATGTGTATAACGAAGGAAGTGTAAGTATTTTTAGTATCGTAAAACACTTTCTACAATGGTCTCTACATCCTATATTGGTTATTATTTTTATCGACCTTCGTTGTCGTTTAAAGAGCCTTAACAAAGAAAATGAATGTCCCAAAGTAAAATTTAATAGTCGAGAAAACACTGTAGATTTCTTAAAATAAACGTATTTTTTGAATTTGTTTTGTTTGCGAAATGCACCGACAAAAAAAAACTGAAAATTGGTCTGGATGAGTAGATATCATTAAGAAAAAAATGTTCTAATAAAATTGTTTCAGTTTTCGAAATAAAATTGATTGAAAATTTGGTCAAAAGAACATGTACGCTACTGAGTTAATAGTGATTAAAAAGATAATGTGGTTACTAAGAAAAATTTACCATTGTAGGTGCATTGTAAAACTTAAAAAAAAACACGTAATCTTCATTGCTTCGTTACTCTAAAAATTCTTTTAAAATGGCAACTTTTTCTAATGCCGAAATGACCGATATGGTCTTGATTTACGGAAGAGGATTTGGAAATGCTCATGAAGCGCAGCGTCTCTACCAGGAGGAATTTCCAGGGCGAAGATTGCCTAATCACACAACATTTAGTGCGTTGTTCAATGTCTCCGGGAAAACGGAAAATTTCAGCCAAGTACGACGGATCGTGGTCGTGAAAGAACTGAACATGTTATAGACGTGGAACCAGAAATACTAGAAATTGTGGAAGAAAACCCAAGTATAAGCATTCGCAGATTATCATACAGATTAGGATTTTCTCCGTTTGTTGTGTGGCGAACCCTAAAAGAACAAGGGCTTGATCCATACCACGTGCAGCGCGTGCAATCCTTTAAACCAGAAGACCTGCCTCGTCGAGTGCGGTTCTGCGAGGGGTTGCTGCAAAAAGATAGGGAGCAATCAGACTTTATGCGCAAGCTTTTGAACACCGACGAGGCACAAGGGAAGGAGTTTTTAATTCTCGTAATACTCATATTTGGTTTGATGAAAATCCGCATGCCATACGGGAAACGCATTTTCAAGATAGATTTTCAGTAAATATCTGGACAGGCATGGTTGACAACAATTTGATAGGTCCATACGTTCTGCCCCTTCGCTTGACGGCGGTTGCGTATTTAGATTTTTTAAACAACGATCTAGGACCACTTTTGGAAAATGTACCCTTAAATGTTTGTAGGGTTCTATGATACCTTCATGATGGGGCCCCTGCACATTATGCCGTAGAAGTGCGGGAATGGTTTGACCAAAACTTTCCAAAAAAATGGATTGGGAGGAATGGACCTGTGTTGTAGCCCCCTCATTCCCCCGATCTCAATCCCTGTAATTTTTTTATGGGGTTACATGAAGCAGGTAGTTTATGAAACTCCAGTGAATATGGGGCAAGCGTTGACAAATCGCATTCAAAATGTTGCTGCCCAGATTAGAAATAATCCAGATATGGTTAGAAGAACGCAGCAGTCGTTAATTCGGTGAGCTGAAGCATGTGTGCAAAATAGAGGCCGCCATTTCGAAAACTTCTTGTAATAGTTTGTTTAACGTTGTGTTAATTTTATTCTTTATTTTTATTTTGATTAGTAAAGTTTAGTTGGTTATCGTCGTTGAAAAGTCTTATTCTTATTAGTAGTTTCTTTTTGTTAACTATGCTTATTCATTAACAAGTCTGTACATAACTAGAGAAAATGACAACATCCTGAAAAAGAACACACAGACGATCATCTATCACGTCGGAATTCCAATGGAACCAAGATCGGCGGACCACCGTCCAGAACCGCGTTCATATAAGAACTGAAAAAACAACAGCGGAACGCGAAAAACGGGAAACGACCCGCGACCCTGGGCAGTGGTTCACCGGCCCTCGTTCAAATAGGACCTCGACGCAAGGAAAATTAAGTAAAAATGACTAATTACTAAAAAAATTTAAAATAATTCTTTACTCCAAAATGTTTAAACATCCAGTTAAAATTGTTTCAAATTGCTTGTTTCTGAAAAAATACTTTTTTCACTAGCAGCCAGGACGCATGCAAATGTCGACTCATTTAGTGGTAGCAAATTCAACTTTTGCTACCACGGGTTCAAAAAGAAAAACTGAGGTTATGTACGCAATGTTTGATGTGATTATTTCTTAAAAAATGAACAAATTTGTGCTACAAACATTACTTGAGTATACGCATGGTAGTTGGTAGACGGTAGAAGATAAAATGATTAACTCAGCAACAAGTATAAACGGTTTTCTTTGTGTTGAAGATTTAGATTAAGTTTGGTTAGAAATCAAAACAAAATCATGTTGCGTCAAAAAATTGAACGTTTATTTTTTCAATTTATTGTCTTATGGTTTCTACTAGTGAAAAAAATAGTATATTAACCACGATTGCAAAGCCACTTCTAGACCTCGCGCTTCAGAGCCCTCGACGCTGCGCGTCTCGGGTTCTAATTTGCGCTCGGTCTAGAATGCTTGGCTCTGCAACCTTGGCTAATAATATACTATTTGACTTTTTACTTGAGATTTTTCAAACTTCACCTTTCGTTGTCAGTTTTTGGTTGCTATGTTTTTTTAAAACATGAATTAATTGAATCTGATAGCACCTCTTACAGTGGCGCGAATAAAGCTTGGATAAAGGGTAAATTTACTTTGCAACTTTTGGTAATACAACAGGAGTTTTTTTTATTCCTTATGCTCTCGAGAACCTCTCCAATTTTTTTGTCGGTGCATTTCGCAAAAAACACCCTGTATTATTACCGTGTTGACACCGTTTAAGTGTTCTATCGATAATCACCCCTAAATGCTTTGAATATTCCACATAGTACGCTATAATATTCCCAAGATTAATGCGAAGAGTATTGAAATGTCATTATTTTTATTTAATTGAAGCCTGTTTGCATTACGCCAATCTTGTGTTTTCGTGATAGAGTTTTTATTGGCGATGTAGGAGCTCGGCAGTTTCTCCTGTTGTATCAATATATGCAAGTATCATCGGCATAAATTGTTACATCAGCTTTTGTAAGAAAGTTCGAAAGATCGTTTATATAATATATATACAGGATGAGTATTATAATAACGGGACCCTGACCAAATTTCAATGCAACACAAAATATATATCTCATATGTAACTCTTTTTACCTAGTAGTTAATTTTGACTTTCGCAAAATAAATAAAAGATGAGGGTTAAATGCACGAACGATGAAAAAGTTGATATGATCTTGATTTTTGGAGAATGCGGAAAAATGCCGTTGCAGCAGCAAATCTCTACGAAAGAAGATATCCCAACAGGCGACATCCAACTTACCAAATTTTTAGATGTTTAGAAAAAACGTTAAGACAAAATTGGCTAGACT